TACATATATTTTTAATAAATAATAGTAAAAGCATTAATATCACGAGTTTTCCTTATCATTAAAAAAGCAAAAAAAAAACAAAAAAACACTGCTTTACATTAGTGGCTTTTCTTTCTCTTATTCTTTGTCACCATTGGTTTAACTCATTGCCTATTGCCGACGAGATATAATGTCATTGTTAGTTTCGGAAGTGAGCTTTAACATCTGCTTCGTAGTATGGTTGCTTTGGAATAAGACCTCAGATAACGTGTGAGACTGCATGACGCTTTAGAGCAGATATTGTTCTGTACATCTCTTCTCACCAGTTTTATTATAGAATTCTAAAACTGGCGTTGCTGCAATAAAAAGAAAGCGTGTTTATGCAATAGAATCATAAAATCAATTGTTACCATCATCAATTGTAGTGTTTTTTTTTTGTTTTCGTTTTAAATCCCGTGACCCGTAGGGACACCATGTGTACTGCAGCCACAGTAGAAGTGGTGTTTCTTGGGCGAGATAGCCCGACGGAGCCCAACCCTCCCCAGGTCGGTTTTGAATTCAGAGTTTTTCCTTCTCCTAGACCGGTTGCCACCCAATGCTATAGAACCCAGACTGTCCTGCTATTTATCCACAGTTTAGAAGAAGAGGATTCATACCTTTCCCAATGGTATTAGCACGAAAGTGAATGAAATGGATTCTACTAGAATTCGAACTCGGCTCTCATTTCGAGCCGCTGTCCATTGCTCCACCGAGTTTCTCCAAATATAATGTATCCTACAATAAAACAAATATTTCAAATAGAAGTCCAATACAACAAAAATAATGTTCCCTAATAAAAACAGCAGATTTTAAGCAAACACGTATTTTTGCAAGAAAAACGAATATCCTATAATAAAATCGACGGTTTAGCGAACAATGCAATATCAGTATAAGCCATGTTCCATAATAAAACCGCCTTTCTTTTGCTAGCAAGGGCAAATTACTATAAAGGGGGTCTATAATAATTTAGTTTGTTTCCTTTCTGTGGCCGACAAAAAGAAAAAAAAACAAACTTTACTTAGACTAAAACATCTTAAACTAACTTTTTTTTTTAATAAAAAATAAACTTACAACGCTCCCAATATAGAAAGAATGGATTTTGATGAATATAATAACAAAAGCTCAGAACAGGTGGGGTGAGCAACCATTTTAGAGAGCGTACTAGAACCGGATAAATCTCTGAGACAAACCTCAAAACTATCAGCAATTAAGTTGAACTGGGCCTATCTGAAATAATGTTCATAAAAGTATCAGCCTTTTTTTTTTTTTTTTCGTCTTAAGTTTTATTACTTAAGTTCTTCTGAGCACTTTATTTTCTTTATAAATCACACCACATTTTTCAGCTCAGTATTCTTTAATATTTTCTTCATTTAAATAATTCATTCTCTTTTCTCCTCGAATCCTGTCAAAGAACGAATATTTTCTATGAAAATTTCTCGGACATTTAATTAGGACATTCAGGCCAGTAAATATTTAATTTAAGCTTCCTTTTGTTTATCATAAACAGAGCATTTGTTTTTTAAAATATTTGTATCATTATAAAATAACAACTATGTGCAGGGTTAAACATAACAAAATGTCTTTTGTAAATAAATTTTTGTCGGACCTTCTTCCATTTCAAGTTAACATATGACGTCATTTGTTTACATTCGATATTCGCCAGAGAACAGCATCCTATACGGATATGTACGTGATTCATGGAAGATTCGAATTTAAGTTTATAAACATCGTAAATGTCAAAAGAACCTGAAAATTTCTCGGACATTCAGGCCGGTAAATGTTATTCAATACTGTTATCATAAACAGAGCATTTGCTTAAATACTTGGTAAAATAGGCACGTTAAACATAACAAAATGTCTTTAATAAATAAATTGTCGGACCGTATAACATATGACATTTTGTTCCGTATAGGATGCAGGTTTTAAAATAAATTCCCGTAAGGTTCTTGTCAAAGAACGAATACTGTTTTTCAGGTTCGAATCCTGTCAAAAAGAATATTTTTCTATGAAAATTTCTCAGACATTCAGGCCGGTAAATGTTATTTAATACTGTTTATCATAAACAGAGCATTTGCTTAAATACTTGTATCTATAAAATAACAACGTTAAACATAATAAAATGTCTTTAATATATATATATTAAATTCATTTTCTATATTTGTTCTTTTTCAGGTTGGCATATGTTACATTCTTATAGTCATAATTTACTAAAAAACAGCGATAAACTGAATAAGCCGAGCTATATAATCCTCATAGGGGATTTATTGATCATGATATATTCAAACGTTAACGGACTGTTGCTCAGTGAACATTTGCGTCCCGGAAAATTGCGTACCAGGCAATTGCGTTCCTGGCAAACTATGTACCTCGGATAACTTTTGTATTGATATTTTTTTTAAAGAATTGTTGAATAAAGAAATTTGCTCACCAATAACATTAACTGCTCTAAACAAGCAGAAAGGCAGTTACCATAAATAAAATTAGAGAGAAAAATTTCCTTTTTTAAATCAAGAGAAAATTAAGCTAACAGTTTCAGTTCACTCTTGTGTTGCGTACAACAAACATCAAATATATTTTGGATTTTATAGATTATATTTTTATTTGAAACCCCTGGCTAAATTCCGAAAATCAAACACTGGTGGGAAAAAAATTGTGGACGAGGAAAATTACAGCTGCCACTATCTTAAGAAAAACGCCGATGAAACAAAAACATAATGGCGGTTTCTAGAGCGATCTTGCAACACTGTTAATCTGTCATTGCATTTTAAACAAAGATAAAGATTTATTTTTTATTTATTCCCCTTTTAAAAATCTATGATTACTACATTTTTATATTACTTGTCTTTAACTATTTCTCTGTATCAGAAAAGTAAAAAGAATCTTGTGGAATTGAGAAATTAGTTAAAATATCATTTCTATAATGATACAGTTAATGTAGAAACGAAGCCCTCAGATGCTTAAATGTTAATCACGTTTTGTCTCGGCAATTTAGATTTTTTTTTTAAATAAGATTTTTTTTTTCTGATTGTTTGCAAGATCCAGAAAGAAAACAAAGATTCCTGACAATAAAAAATGCCGAAAATCACCAACGTCATTAAAAACAAACTTAGAAATCTCCTAATATTCAAAATTAGAAAGACCGGATACTGAAGAATTCAATAAAAAAGTGTCTCTAAAATTAGAAGTTAACTAACTTCACTAACGACAAATTCCACTCCCTTGTCGCTCGTTGCAACATTGGTCTTTTTATTATTCTTCCCACAAATGTTACCAAAGTTTTTGTTTATCATTTTTTATATATCTATTTATTTTAAAGTGATTATCTCTATTTATTCCTTTTACGATTGACATATGTCATTTTGTTTTAGTCATTATTTTCTAACAACCAGTGATAAACTAAATTAGTACGGTCGTATAATCCTCATAGGGAAGTCATCAATCATGAGATGTAAAAACATCGATATGAGATTAACTTATATTCATATTTATATTTTATTTTAATTTAAATTATTTATTATTTAAATTATTTATACTATTTACATTTTATTTTAATTTAAATTATATTCATATTTATATTTTATTTTAATTTAAATTATTTATTATTTAAATTATTTATACTATTTATATTTTATTTTAAGTTAAATTATATTCATATTTATATTTTATTTTTTTTTATTTGAGATTTTCCAGGTCTAAGTTGTGATCAAAAAGTATGTGTTGTTAAATTGCGAAATTAGTTAAAATATCATTTCTGCACCCTTCTAGATGATGAGTGCACTGGGGTCGGAGTCACGATCTATCTTGGACTCAAAGATGCAGATGTGGAGCTTCCATCAATGAGTTTGGTTTGCATCCTCTCTCCTGTCGTCCTGTAGCGCCGGCCGCTTTCCACGGCATGCAGCAATAAACATCATCATCAAAAGAGGTTTGAATGCAGCTGGGTTTCCCTTCCCAAATCGAACCCGTAGGCCTCGACTGTGGTGATGGAAAGCGGCCGGATGACATTACCATTTTCCCTTTTAAAATGGGGAAGTCGTTGATTTGGGATGCAACCTGTGCGAATACATTTTCTGCCGGTTATTTGATCAGGTCCGCGGTTGAGCCGAGGTCCGTCGACCGGCACGAAGAGATAAAAAAAAAAAATAGTTAAATATTCTTCTCTTGCTGATTTTATTTTACTCCTGTGGCAGTGGAGACTTCAGGGGTTATTGGCTATCGTTCGATGGCGTTCCTTCGTAGGATTGCCGCGATGGCGTCTCGATTAAGGGATGAGCCTCGTGAAACGGAGTGGCTCTTGCAGCGTGTCTCACTGGCGATGGTTCGAGGTAATGCTTTCTCCATCATTGCGGCTAGCAGAGGATAGAAAAACATTGTTTATAGTTACTTTGTTCAAACTTTTTTCGGTAAATAAATTTCTTATTCTTTAAATTTTTCAGTTGACCAACTAAAAAAAAAAAATCTGCAATGATATTTTTAAATGAGAATCACGCTTTTTCTCGGAAATTTAGATCTTTTTAATAAAATTATTTTTCTTATGATTCTGGTTCATAGTCGAAACACCCATGAGAATAGTGCATTTTTCAGATTGTTTAACATATTTACGACGGACAAGTGTCAGAATGGAGTATCAATAAATAATTGATTCAGCTCGAAGTTGTAGTTTTGCTTTGGTCTGAAGTAATACGCTGAAAATAATCTCGTTTTTCAAGCTCAAGTCAAATCCGATTGAAAAAGATGAATGAGAAACACGATACAGTTCTCTATGAGTGACAAACAGAACTGTAATCACAATTCAAGGCATTATTTTTATTTTTATTCATTTATTTATGTTTTTTTGCTTATTTTTTCTATTTTACTTGGAACAAGCGGAGATTAACCCGGGAAAAATATATATTAAATAACCGTTCGAAAGTAACAGAATGCGGAACAACAACTAAAACAATGATATTGCGATCGATGAATATATGCATAAATAGACATATATGAAGGATCTATCTATCTATCTATCTATCTATCTATCTATCTATCTATCTCAACCACATTTATTTATTTATTTTCCTTTCTTTCTATATGTAAATATCAACCTCTTAGATTTCTTTCTTTTTTTCTTTCTTTCTCAAACTCTTTCATTTCTATCCTTCTTTCAATATGTCGACCTGAAACGCTTAAATTTCTTTCTTTCTTTCTAAGTCTGTTCATCTATCTATCTATCTATCTATCTATCTATCTATCTATCTATCTATCTATACTTTATTTATTTGTTTATTTTCCTTTTTTCTCTATATTGATCTCAACCTCTTAAATGTCTTTCTTTTTATCTATCTGTCTATTATATCACTTCAAAATTTCGTGCCCGATTAGAAAATTAAAAAAAAAAGAAACATTTAATATATGCACAAAAACATTTATTAGTAACGTACAAATCCTCCGTTGTTTTTTAGCAACAGTCCTCCATCTTTAACAAAGTTGTTGAGACAATTCTCGTAGAAATTCTGTGTTTATTTTATTGGACGAAGATTGTGAATTAGTTTTTGACTCACTGTCAAGAGTGAATTATTTCGTCATTTAAATTGTTCTCCAGGGACCGGAACAATTAAAAATCCTCCATCGTATTCTCTTGAATACGATGGAGGCTTGAGCGTTTCTCATTTCAACTCTTTAAGCTTATCCAAGGTCTGCTTTGCAACAGAAGGTTTTCCGTTGTTGTGGTGGGACATGACGCCTTTTCGATTTACCAAAATTGCAGATTTTCTTGAAATCAAGTCTCTTCAAATGGCAAAAGGCAGTTGAGTTATCGATTGTCAAACTGTTAGCAGTCAAAAACTTCTGTTTATTGCTCACGATGAGTTGCAGAGCGTCTTCATTGTCGTTGGAAGCGCGCACCTGGGGTGTGGTTTCGTTTAATATCACCTCGACAAAATGTGACAAAACACTTTTTGACCGCCAGAAGAGCTAGGGGCACGGTCCGAATAAATTTTCTGAGTGTTTTTTGGTCGCAGTTCAGACGCATATTCCTTTCCGAAATCCACAAAAAATAATATGGCGAAAGTGCAACCCTTTCATCATCCATCTTTAAGGCATTCATTTATGGACAAAACGTCAATATTCAACAAAATCTGACTTCGCAAATGACCGATGCAACGTTTCAATCGAGAATGCACAGGATATCGGCACAAAAAAAAAAAAATAATAAAAAACGCGAGTATCAATTTGCGGTTATTTTAATATTATCAGTGAAAATCGAACATGACTTTTTTACAGTATTTACATTAGTCGGACTATTGTCCCCATCTTTGTCGCCATATTTGTCACAACGCTTCGGCCGTTGTACGCTCCGGCCTACTTCAGGTGGTTGGAATGTCGAACTGAACCCTTTATTTCGATCACTGGGGTAGACCGTTCTAGTTCCACGTGCCATGTTTGATGGATGTCAGTTATCAGTTATCTCCTGCTAATTTTCCCTCTGAAAGTTTTCCACTGCCTTAACCAGGTATTGAACTCACCTTCTTTGGGTCTGTCACTCGATCTAACCAACGCCTTTATCCACTGTGCCATGTGTCCTTGAGGACTTTTTAAAATGATCTATCTATTGCATTTTGCAAGCAAAAAAATCGTTTTTTTTTTTAGTAAAAGGGATATCTCTAAATGCTATTTGCGGGTTGGGAACACTAGAATCAAGCAGACGCAGAATTTCTGGGAAGCGTTTTGATAGAGAACAGTAGACGTATTGGGATGGCCAAAGACGCATTCCAAAAGCTGGGCAGGGTATTGCGAGACAGAAGGATTTCATTGGTAACAAAGAAAAGAATACTGAGCGGTTACGTGACATCTGTCTTTCTTTACGGCAGCAAATGTTGGACAATTACCTCAAAGATGAAGAAAAGACTCGAGGCGACAGAGATGTGTTTCTACAGAAGGATGCTAAGGATATCATGAACCGAGCATGTGAGCAACGATGAGATCTTAGAGAGGATGCAGACAAGGAGGAGACTTATATTTAATATCAGGAAGAGACAGCTGAAGTTTCTGGGACACATAATGAGGAAGGAGGGCCTGGAGAATCTGATACTCACGAGTCAAAAAGAGACAAGGGAAATCAGCGTGTGATCAGGTGGATGATATAACTTGGTCTGGGGGTGGGGGGAAGCAGAGGGAAGGAACATTTTGAGAGCTGCAAGTGATAGAAGGAGGTGGAGAGCCATGATCGCCTATGTCCTGAAATGATATGGAACATGAAAAGAAAAATAGGAAACATGGTCTGATTTTGCGTTGCCTGCTCGAAACATGTTTATATAAGACTAGCAGCATGGCCCGGCGTTGCTCGTGCTTGATTCATACAGCAATCACTATCACTTGACTTAAAATATTTCTGATCTTGCTTGCCTTTAAAGGAGTGCCCTTTGCCGTGCTGATGTTGCTACATGTCTTACTTCTTGCCTATCTCACACTGCGATTTTCTTCTAAGCTCTATACTAAACATTAAATCTGTTAAGAAAAAAGAACTAAACAAAATGAACACAAAGCGATCAGCTTTAAAAAAGTACTCGTAACTGGAAAAACCGAATGAAAAAAGAATGTTAACAACAAATACTTTTTCACACCCAAAACCAGTTCTGCGGAATCAGAATCAACGTTGAGTTTAAGCAAGCGAATGAGCCAATTAGAGTAAAGTGCTATGCAGATTTAAATTTTTCCCACTTGTGACGAATGCAGCTATCGAATTTTTTTTGCCACGCTGGCCAATAGAATCTTCCTGACTATTTGTGGCAGCCAGCTATTGGCTCTCACTCTGGCCAGTAGAAAATGGCCGCAAACTACATGGAAACTGATGAAGAATCATGAAAACATCGATTATTTCCACTATCGATGAGAGTTGGGAAATGCAAAGTCGGTCTTGGCCTTCCCGCTAACTTGCAGCAAGTGCATGTAAATTTTAGTGTAAATCCGTCGAATATTGCGGCCGTGCATTCATTACACACCCACACCCACACCCACACACACACACACACACACCCTGCCTTTTATAGATAGAGATTTGGCATTGCTCGCTAAAAACGTTCAATTTTCTTATGGAACACACTTTAAGTTTATTTGGTGTTAGTTTCTAAAAGTACCACTTTTATGATAGGACACATTTTACGTTTATTTGATATTGGGACATACATTATTTCGATTTCGTGTTACGTTAAAAAAAATCATAATTTCAGAACAATGTCTTTTAGTCATTTAGTTACTCCAGTTTAAAATTTATTCGCAGATATATTTAGGCTAATATATTTGTATTTTTAATTTAATTTAGGCACTATCTTCAGCCAAATAATTCTTCAAAATTCTTTATATAGTCTGCGTTTCTTTGATAAAGCATCGACAGACAATCGATCGGCTAATGCCTATACAAATAAAAGTTAAATGGATAAAAAAGAAAAGAACTAGTGAAAATATTAGAGGGGGGCTGTATCAGAGAGATAGTTTTATAAGCCTTGATACAATGTCGGCAGAAGCATCTTGTTTTTTTTTTTTATCATCCGTATCCTTTCGAGAGTTGGGGAGCATTCTCCTTCTGAAGGTTTCTAAGTAACATTTATCTCAATGCTATATCCCTTCCCCGTCATCCATGTTAAACGCTCTGTTCTTTTGACAATCGTGTGCTTTCCTATGTACTGTGAATGTCAAATTCTCTAAGTCCTCTTTCCTCATCGCTCGTTCCAATGCAATCTATTTACTTGCATGCTCCATCCATCATAATCGCAACAGTCTTTTGGAAAATAAAATCTTTCTCGTTTCAATCTATCTAACCCTGGCTTTTCATATCTATCTATCTATCTATCTATCTATCTATCTATCTATCTATCATTGTCTTTTCTTATCTATCTAACCGTCTTTTCTTATCTATCTATCTATCTATCTATCTATCTATCTATCTATCTATCTATCTATCTATCCTTGTCTTTTCTTATCTCTCTAATCCTGTCTCTTCATATCTATCTATCTATCTATCTATCTATCTCATGAGAGGATTAATATTGCGTAGAAGTTCTCTATTTTTTCTGTTTCATCGTAAAACTTTCTTTACTGTTTGGAAGACAACGTTCGACAATTCAATACACCTTCGAATTTCGTTGTCATATTTTATTTCTTCTTTTAAAACACTTCACATTTTTTAAAATACTTCATTGTCCTTATTTTAACATTTCCAATTCGTAGCACAAATTTTGGGTTTCTTCTCTGTCTGGCATCCAAACATTCTGCCTTCTTATTGTTGTTGCTCCTTCCTTTCTTTCTGTCTTTCTTTATTTTCATTTACCATGTATTTCTGTATTTATTTCTTCTGTCTACCATCAACACGGTGGTACCATGTAATCATATATTCTTATGTTTGTGTCCCACCCCCTATAATTAATCCTGCTGCAACTTTTAGTTCTACCTTGATTACAGTATCGACTTTTATATAATTTGTTTTATTCGTTTTGGTGGGTGGGGGGAAATGAAAGAAAGTTTGTGAGAATCTTTTCATTTGGCATTCAGAAAATTCAGACCACTGAGAGAGAAAGCACCGAATCTCAACCAATTCCTGATTCCACCTTGACTCATAAAAGCGTCAAGAAACTATTTGATCAGATTAATATTTTAATGTTGAATTAGTTCTTGACACATTTCAAAATTCTCTTTCCAATTCGTTTGACAACTGGAACAAATTAAATGGATATGCCGAGTCAGACGTACACGCGGCATCCATTTTGAAATTCTGATTGATTGATATTTTCTTTCTTTCTTTCTTTCTTTCTTTCTTTCTTTCTTTCTTTCTTTCTTGCATGCTTTCTTTCTCACTAGTTGAATCATTCCTTCTTCGTAGCCCTTTCTTTCTTATTTTCTTTCTTGCTTGCTTTTTTTCTTTCTCATGAGTTGAATCTTTCTTTCTTCATATTTCTTTCATTCTTTCTTTCTTTCTTTCTTTCTTTCTTTCTTTCTTTCTTTCTTTCTTGCTTGCTTTCTTTCTTCGTAGCCCTTTCATTCTTGCTTGCTTTTTTTCTTTCTCATGAGTTGAATCTTTCTTTCTTCGTAGCCCTTTCTTTCTTTCTTTCTTTCTTTCTTTCTTTCTTTCTTTCTTTCTTTCTTTCTTGCATGCTTTCTTTCTCAATAGTTGAATCATTCTTTCTTCGTAGCCCTTTCTTTCTTTATTTCTTATTTTCTTTCTTGCTTTCTTTTTTTCTTTCTCATGAGATGAATCTTTCTTTCTTTCGTTCTTTCTTTCTTTCTTTCTTTCTTTCTTTCTTTCTTTCTTTCTTTCTTCCCTTCGCTCTAATAGAATCGTTCTTTCTTCGTATCTTTTTTTCTTTGTTTTCTTTGTACTTCTTTTTCTTCCATTTTTAAGATTTTTTCTCTTTTATTCATTGTCTGTTTCTTTCTTTTCTTCTTTTTCTTCTATTTTTAATATACACGTTTCATTAATTTTTTCATCCTTTTTCTTTTTTTTCTCTCTTTCTTTCTGTCTCTCTTTCTTCTTTTCTTTCTTTCTGACACTTCCCTTTCTTTTTTTACATTTTCCTTTCTTACTTTGACACTATTCTCTTCCTTCTCACAAACGAGTCACCGTCTATTTGCAATTAAGAATTTTCTTTCTTCCTTTCCTTTTCACTAGTTAAATCCCTCTTTCTTCGTGGCTGTCTCTTTCTTTATTTATTCTGCGTTCTTCTTTCTTTTTTATGCTTGTTACTTTCTTTCTTTTCTATTTTTAATGCCGTCTTTCTTTCTTTTTTAATTTGTTAGCGTCTTTCTTTCTCAATTTCTTTATTAATGTCTTTCTTTCTTTTTTTTTCTAACTAGTTCAATCTCTCTTTCTTTGTAGATCTCTCTTTCTTTCTTTCTTTGTTTTTTCTTTCTATGCTCGTTACCTTCTTTCATTCTTTTTACATTTTAATCCTGACTTTCTTTCTTTTACTTTTGTTAACGTCTTTTCCGTTTTTTCTTTCTTGATTTTTTTTCTTTCTTTATTTTAATAACGTCTTACTTTATATTAAAAAGTTGCAAGGGTCTTTCTCTCTTTTTTTTATTTCTTTCTCTGCAGTTGAATCTTTCTTTCTTCGTAGCTTTCTTTTTATTTCTTTCTTATGCTTTTGACCTTCTTTGTTCTTATTTTTAATGTCATCTCTCTTTGTTTTTTTTTTAGGTTTCTTACCGTCTCTTTCTTTCTTTCTTTCTTTCTTTCTTTCTTTCTTTCTTTCTCACTAGTTGAATCTTTCTTTCGTCGTCGCTGTTTCTTTCTTTCTTATGATTTTTTTACCTTCTTTTTATTTTTAACGTCATCTTTGTTTTTTTAGGTTTTTTACCTTCTATCTTTCTTTCTTTCTTTCTTTCTTTCTTTCTTTTTCTTTCTTTCTTTTTCATTAGTTGAATCTTTCTTTCTCCGTCGATTTTCTTTCTTTCTTTTTTTCTCTTCGAATTTTTCTTTCTTCGTCGCTGTTTCCTTCTTTCTTTCTTTCTTTCTCATTAGTTAAATATTTCTTTCTTCGTCTATTTTCTTTCTTTCTTTTTTTTCTCTTTGAATTTTTCTTTCTTCGTCGCTGTTTCCTTTTTCTTTCTTTCTTATGATTTTTTACCTTCGTTCTTTTTTTTATTTTTAACGTCATCTTTCTTTGTTTTTTAGGTTTGTTACCGTCGTTCTTTCTTTCTTTCTTTCTTTCTTTCTTTCTTTCTTTCTTTCTTTCTTGCCAACGCAAAAATCTAAAACACTTTTGTTTTTAACATTTCACATAAACATTTCAACCTTCAACGAGGCTGTCAGTTTTGTCTGCGCCTTCGACGACGTCTTCATATTCAACTAGCATTTCCACTAATGTAAAAGCCCTGTTCGACTTAAATGATATGGCATCATTCGTTACAGTTTATTGATTTGTCGATCAATTTTTAACCGTGAACTCAACTATTAGCCGACCAGAAAATTCGATCCTGGTCAACTTTCTCTTATCTATGCATTACAAACAGCGGGGGATTCCTTGCCGTACGCTGAATCTGAAGAACTGTCTTGGGGTCAACTCGACATTAAGTCACATTCAGTAAATGATTTAAATGGCAATTATAATCTGCCTCGAAAATAACAATATTCCAAAGAATGTAAGATTTAAGATTTTCGTCGTTTTTGGTAATATATTCCTTAACCAAATGACTTGCAAACAGTTCTGGAATTCACAGACGCCGAGTTTGATCTCACCAAATGTCTCCATTTAGATTACAAAAAAAAAAAAAATGTATTTACAAAATATTTTGTTAAAGTAATATTTATTCTGTCCAAGACTCAAGAACCACTCAAGCTAGAAGGTTACAGAGTATTTTATCCTCTGCCAGCCGCAAGGATGGAGAAAGCATTACCTGGAACCATCGCCAGTGAGACACGCTGCAAGTGCCACTCCGTTTCGCGAGGCTCGTCCCTTAATCGAGACGCCATCGCGCCAATTCTCCGAAGGAACGCCATCGAACGAGGGCTTATAACCCCTGAAGTCTCCACTGCCAGAGGAGTAAAAAAAAAATCTATCAGCAAGAGAAGAATATTTAAGTATTTTTTTTTATCTCGACGCGGACCTGATCAAATTACCAGCAGAAAATGTATCCGTACAGGTCGCATCCCAAATCAAAGTGGTAATGCCATTCGGCCGCTTTCCATCACCACGGTCGAGGCCTATGGGTTCGATTTGGGAAGGGAACCCAGCTGCATCCAAACCTCTTCTGATGATGTCGTTTATTACTGCATGCCATGGAAAGCGGCCGGCACTACGACGACAGGAGAGAGGATGCAAATCAAACTCATCAAATAGAAGCTCCACATCTGCATTTGTGACGCTCACATAATTTGAATTATAATAAATAATAAATTCATTTCGTTTAGAAAAATATATTTATTATTCCCAAGCGGTCGACACTTTATGTACTGACCAGGCCCGACGTTGCTTAACTTCGGCAATTGTACGGAAAGTAGTGTTTTAACCTGATGTGGTCGTAGGTTTGGACCAATTGGGAAGCATCTTCTAAGGATTTGGTTCCAAAAAGAAGCGATTCGTCGGAAGAGTCTCAGCCCTGATGGCGGAACGAAGGAATGCAAATGAAGTTCGTCTGAACACTTTCCATGGAAATAGCGATCGAGCAACGAGAGTTTTTTTTTTTAACAATTCGTCTGTGGAAAAGAAATGTATGGTAGAAAATAATTCATCTTCAACTTTTGGATTCTATCGAGACAAAAAGTAAAGAATAGGCTGTTCATGCGTATATTTAACAGCAATAATCCATTTTTGGTCTGATATCTCTTTTGTAAAGGTAGAAGATAACGTTACTTTTTTTTTTTTTTACTGTAAATTTCACCCTTTACAAGGCCCGGGGTCACTCGAGGTAGAGGGATATGTTTGGAGGCCATTTGTGTGTATAGGACTGGAAGGTAACGGTTGACCCTAATCTTGAACAGATAAAGATTGCCGTGACTGAGGAACATCGTCTTGCGAGTCGGTATTAGAGCAGTAGTTCACGTTAAGAAGCTGCTTAAGTAAAACTTACTTCTCACCAATGGAATGTGGATAGTTTTCTACTATGTAAATGTCATTACGTGTCCTTGCTGTGAATGTTTAAATTGACGAATCCATGTATTGTATTTCGTCTGAACACTTTCCTTGGAAATAACGATCGAGCAACAAGAGGTTTTTTTTTAACGTTTCGTCTGTAGAAAAGAAGTTGTATGGTAGAAAATAATTCATCTCTAACTTTTGGACTCTATCGAGACAGAAAGTAAAGAATAAGCCGTTCATGCTTATATATGACAGCAATAAGTCCATTTTCGGTCTGATATCTCTTTTGTAAAGGTAGAAAATAGCAGGAGGAGCCATGTACTTACTGAAAACGTACAGGAAACCAACCATTGTTTTTGCTTATTTGTTGTTATTTTACAGTAAGGTTCATCCTTCACAAGGCCCGGGGTCACTCGAGGTAGAGGTATATGCTTGGAGGCCATTTGTGTGTATAAGAGTGGAAGATAACGTTTAACCCTAGCATTGAACAGTTAAGATTGTCGTGATTGGGGAACACCCTCTTGAGAGTCGGTTTCACACAGCAGAGACTCGCGTTATGAAGTTGCTTGTGTGAAACTCACTTCTCTCCAATACAAATGTGGACGGTTCTCTACTATGTAAGCGCCATTGCGCGTCCTTGTCGTGAAGGTTTGAATTGACAAGACCAGGGATTGTATTTCGTCTGAACACTTTCCATGGAAATAGCGATGGAGCAACGAGAGGTTTTTAACGTTTCGTCTGTGCTAATAATTTTTAAGCGTTTCACCACAAGCAAGGCGGGAAGCCACTAGCAAGCAAGGGGTTACAGAGAGCGAGAACAAAGAGGAGTGATAGAGGAAAGGATGAAGAGAAGGATAGGGGATAGATCGAGGCTTCTGGAGACGTCGATTGACATTACATTTGAATAGTTGGAGATTATAGCTATCAGGGAAACAGGAAGAAGGGAGGGAGTTCCACAGGCGAGAGGTGCGAGGCATGAAGCTATTGGAGTAGAAGAGACGGCTATATTTAACAGTTTCGACAGTCAAAGGATGAGAGCGAGATGCCAGCCTAGTAGAACGCTTAAATTCATGAAGTCTGGGAACCAGCGAAAGCAGCTCATCGGATCAGTTACCATGAAAGTATTTGTAAAAAAAAAAAAAAAAAAAACAGGGATGCAACGGCACGTCCGTGAGAGAACGGCTGCGGACGAGATGCCAGATCAGGGTCAATTGCATTGCATATTCGTCTCTGGATTTTATCAAGGACCTTGAGACAAACATAAGGGGCACCATACCATATATGGCAACAATATTCCATGCAAGGGAGAATAGTTGATTTGTAGATTTGAAGGATCGACTCCTGGCGCGGCACAAGGAGCCAACTTTCCTTGCGGTGGGCAAAGCTATTGACTCGGGTCAGCAGTCAATATGAGAACGACCAGTCGCAAAGAGGTGCTCCCGTTGAGTTGAGCGTCAGACATTCTAATGTGGGGCAGGGATGGTTCTCTGCGGTGAGTAATAGAGAGCAGTTTTGTTTTTGAGGCATTAAAGTTAACCAGACAATTCCTGCCCCAGTCTTCAACCGATTGGAGGTCCTAGATTTGTAGGGTGAAAATAATTAATCCCCCTAGCAGTAGCATAGAGAAAGGCCAAAATGTGGTTCTGGCTTTGAAATCGTTCCAAAACGTTTACGCGGACTTACGGGTGATGAGTTATTTTCTACCCTTCATCCCCTTTTCCACAGACAAAACATCACAAGCCCATCGCTACCCTTTCGCTATCTCCATAAAAAAAAATGTTCTGCCGAGTTACATTTTTTAGTTCCGCCAGTTTAAAACTTAGAATGCCATGAATATATGTAAGAAAGTATCCTGGGTAAGTTGGTTCCGTCAAGCAGTGGTTCTTGGGAAGGGAATGAGGATGATTTGCCTCAGTGTACGCGGAGTGGCGTATCATAGCTGTGAGGGTTACAGTTTGTGTCTTGTTTCCGCTACAAGGTGTCTATTATGCCCCAGCGAACCAGGTGCCGCATTGTATAAAACAAAACACACCTAAGCTGATAACTCTACTAAAGTCTTCTCAAAAATAAGCGTCAACAAGTGCGCTATTATATACTAATATGGATATCTCTACATAAACTCCTTTTACCGCTTTATATATTCTTCCTATTAAACCAATAATATTTTAATTCTACAATATTGTTTGTAATAGTATTCCTACCTTCTTCTCAAGAAAATATCCCGTGCTGAGATGTGGCAAAAGGCCGACATAATGGGGCACCTCGCAGGGATCGAACTCACTTTTATCGTAACTAGCGAGGCAAGCTTGCTAGACATTACACCACGTCGATGTGCCCCAAAATGGAATGGTTATTTTCTAAGGGGCGCGTAGTGAGGATCGAATTCACTTTTGTCGTAACTGACCTAGCGAGACAGCTTGTTAACCATTACACCACGCCGAGGTACCCTGAACATCGTCTGTAATTAGTGAAATTTTCTGCATTTCCAATGCTCCAAAATCCTGACAAGCGGGCAAGTTCTTTAAATTTCCCATGTCGCAAAGGTACTATCACTATACTTCCTCTATACTATAGCCTGATTATTTTATAGAGACGTTCACCCCAAACAAATCCCAAACAGCCACTCGGATAGAGGGTTACAGAATAGGCAGAGGTACGTAGAGAAGATAACGTTTGACCCGAAACTTGAATAGGTTAAGATTATAGTTATCGAGGAAGCATCCTTTTGGGAGTCGATTCCGCAAAGCAATCTTTCGTGGGAGGAAACATCTCAAATGAAACTTACATCTCACCAGTAGAACACGGAATGATTGTGGGTGGTTCGCTAAAATGGGCGTGGCATGGCAGGTCTTAGCCGTCAAATAATATCACAAATAAAATTGTTTCAGTCTCTGTCTATATTTCTGAGATGAGTTATTATGTACACTATTTACATTATTCTGACTATTGTCCTCATCTTTGTCGCCATATTTATTACAAAGTTTCGGCCGTTGTACGCTCCAGCCTTCTTCAGGTGGTTGGAATATTTCGCTCACTGGGGTAGACTGTTCTAGTTCCACGTGCCATGATTAATGGCTGTCAGTTATCAGTTATCTCCTGTTAATTCCCCTTTCAAAGTTCTTCACCGCTTTAAAAGGGTATTGAACTCACACTCTTTGGCTCCTGTCACTGGATCTAACCAACGCCTTTACCCACTGTGCCATGTGTCTTTGAGGACATCTGTGTATGAATTTCTGGGTATTATAAACCTAATGTCTTCAGCAACTATTTTTTCCAGTGCTCATATTGCAATTTATGCTGTTATCATTGCATTTTTTTTACCAGAGCTCATATAGCAATTTTTTGTTGTCATTATCGCTTTTTCTCTGGCACTCCTTATTACTGGTTCCCATATTGTTTTTATTTCTATGCTTGGTCGGCTCAGCAGATTTTTGTAGCCTAGCATATGTGCTGATTGCTTAAATGTACGAATTTTTCAATGATGTTCTTTGTCTATGATCTCAACCTGATCCCACAGAGGGCGGTGATCTCCCTTCTCTCTCCATATGTGATCAGCCACACCTGATTTTTCCACTATCCCTCGTGTTACAGCTTTTTGGTGTTCTTGAAGCCTTACCTTAAACGTGTGGCCTGTCTAACCTTTATATTTCTTTCGGGATAGCGTACACCCAGTCTTTAGTAATGTTCTCCTTTATGGGGGGGGTCTTACTCGGGAGAGATATCTGCGAAATGTCGTCAAGCTTTTGAGGGTTGTCTTGATGTTATATGGACCACAGATCCTTTGTATTTTCTCTGATAACTCCTTCACATAAGGCAGGCAGACTGTTTTTTTTTCAGCCAAAATGTTTTTTTTGTAATGAAACATGACCTAGTGCCCATGTTAGTACTTCGTATGTCCATTCCACGAAGTCGTTCCTTGCGGATTGACCACAGATTCTCGATTGGATTTAAATCAGAAGACTTTCCAAGCAAGTTGATAGTACTTTGATTTGCTCAGTGATAAGGCCTGCCAGTGTGTTCGTGCAGCGTTACAATTTTCGGACCCTTCTTTGGGGTAACGTACACCGCAGAAAATGTCAGTAGGACAACTAATCGACAGTCGAGACAATAGTGTCTGGGCGTGATAAAAATCTGATGCAATCACGGATGACGCAATATTTTTCAAGACCAAACAAATTTCATTATACATCCCGAAAATAGATTCATATTACTGCACACCACTACCTAAGCTTAGGAAAAATAGAAATCGATTACACCCTGTCACTCCAGTGGGTCTAAAACTAACCGTATGGTTAAAGAAAGGAAACTAAAACTGTTATTTCAATTAATTTGCACAAGGGTGTATAGATTCATTGCCTGAAACGTTATTTTTAGCGGATACCCGTATCTGAGTAGACATTCTTTTATTTTAGACAATATTTATTTCGACTATATGTCTGCGTATTCGAGGAAAAGGCATTTTTTTAAATTAATTTGTATTATAAACGTCATTCTAGTGGGTATAGGTGTGTGAGTTATTAATTTGGTTGTTTTTGAAATGTTCATAACAACAATTACTTTGTACCCGCCAAAAATTCGACTTTTTAAAAGATTTCTTTAATACACAGGCCACTAGATGAAAAAAAATTGTTTAATATAAACGGAGCGTTTACTCAAATACGGGTATCCATTAAAAATTACCTTTGAAGTAATAGAAATAACTTGGATTAATAAATAAAATCCATTAATATCTTATAAAATATATATTCATGATAAAATATAGTTTTAAGCCATGTCATGTTTATGGATTAAAGTGCTAGATAGATAGGAATAGAGTGTATCTATATATAAAGTTGTAGCCTCTGTCTGTTTGTTATCTAACTCCTCCTCCGTTATTGGAGATATAATCCCATATACTGAAACTACATTACTCAAGGTCCTTTTTTTTAAATATATATAATTTTGATCAAAAGCGGTCCCCGGGAGAGCTGGTGGGGTAACCGCCGCCATTGATTTTTTTTCCTTTTGATATAAATTAAATTTAAATTTGAACAAGGGAATGGCTCCTAGTGTACTTGGATAAGTATATTTCAATATGATCAAAGGGAATCCCCAGGGGTGCAAAATACACACTGAATTTTTATTCTCTTTGATTTAAATTAAATTTAAATTTGAAAAAGAGAATGATTCCTATATATATAAATTAGAAAGAGAAATCCAGAAGATGGAGATCACATCGGTAAGATCATTGATTAATGATGAAATACATTCTTTTTTCTCCATAAATTATAAAAATTATTTAAAATCAGTCATCATTTTTCTTGTAAAAAATGTCTGACACGCAGCAAGTCGGGGTTAAGTCGGTTAGTGTAAATATAAAAGTGGTCACTGAAGACAAGACCCAGAGATGACAATCTGTTTCATCCTTAAATGCAAACGTCAAGCCAGGAGCATGAAACAGACTGTCTCCTCCTCAGGGTATTGAATTCGATGTTCACTCTTTGTATTGATGTATGGAACATATCTAAATATATATGTGTGCGTGTGTGTGTGTGTTTGTTTGTATGTGTATTTATCAGGTAGAATATTTTTGTTATTTGTTAAAAGCCTTAGCGTGCTTGGTAACATTTTCAAGAAATAATGTTGACATACGTGAATGTTATTCTCCGCTATAAAATCCATTATTTACTTAGAGCTCCACACGGAGTTTAACGTGACAAATCGACGGAGAAGCGTTGAAATGATTCGGAAAAGATGTTGGGAAAATTCACACACACACACACACACAGAAGAAGAAGAAGAAGAAGAAGAAGAAGAAGAAGAAGAAGAAGAAGAAGAACAAGAACAAGAACAAGAACAAGAACAAGAAGAAGATGCTTTTTTTTCGAAAGTACTTAAAATGCGAAACTTCCGAGAAATTGCGGTGGCAGATGTCGGCGAATATAAATAAATTTGTCTATCGATCTGTTTTATTCAGGTTTCATCCTGGCTAATAAAGAACGCATCGACACAGACACACAAAGACACACACATTTCGGTGAACAAAAATAAGCAAGACAGAAGGAGAAAGAAGAACAGACTTTGATATTTTGGTGTGTAAAGAAACATGAGTATCACTTGATTTATTACAATCAGTTCGATCTGTTTAAGGGAAGAGCGACATGAGAATGTAAACGCGGCAACAGAGCCACATTATCTATCTTATTCCATACGTACATTATCTATCTATCTATCTATCTATCTATCTATCTATCTATCTATCTAATTCCATTCATATCTATCTATCTATCTATCTATCTATCTAATTCCATTCATATCTATCTATCTATCTATCTATCTATCTATCTATCTATCTATCTATCTAATTCCATTCATATCTATCTAATTCCATTCATATCTATCTATCTATCTATCTATCTAATTCCATTCATATCTATCTTATTCCATTCATATCTATCTATCTATCTATCTATCTATCTATCTATCTATCTATCTATCTATCTATCTATCTAATTCCATTCATATCTATCTATCTAATTCCATTCATATCTATCTATCTATCTATCTATCTATCTATCTATCTATCTAATTCCATTCATATCTATCTATCTATCTATCTAATTTCATTCATATCTATCTATCTAATTCCATTCATATTCATCTATCTATCTATCTATCTATCTATCTATCTATCTATCTATCTATCTATCTATCTAATTTCATTCATATCTATCTATCTATCTAATTCCATTCATATCTATCTATCTATCTATCTATCTATCTATCTATCTAATTTCATTCATATCTATCTATCTAATTCCATTCATATCTATCTATCTATCTATCTATCTATCTATCTATCTATCTATCTATCTATCTATCTATCTATATAAGAAACTCCAAGAAGTACAAAAATTGAGATATCTGGGAAGTGTATTAACAAAGGATGGAAAGGGCGACATTGAAAAAACAGAAGGTGCATTGGTATTGCCAAATATGCCTTCCAAAATCTAAGCAAACTATTAAGAGATAGAAAAAACTTCGTTAGAAACAAAGAAAAGAGTACTGAACTGCTACCTTATATCAGTCATATATAACAGATACAGTGTTGATAGCAAACACATAAAGGAGACTGCCAAAACTCCTACAGAAGTTAGTGAAGGAAAGTGAGAAGAAAGGACTAAGTGTCAATTGCAAGAAGACAGAATGCATTGTTGTCAGCAAAAGAGAACAGCCCAACATGCAAATTACAAATTGGGGATACCAAAATCAAACAAGTACAGCAATTTAAATATGGGGAAAGGATGGAAAGTGAGACATTGAAAAAACAGAAGATGTTTTGGTATTGCCAAATATGCCTTACAAAATCTAAGGAAAGTATTATTAAGAGATAGAAAAACTATTGAACTACTATCTATGAACTACTTCCTTATATCAGTCCTTATATATGGCAATGAATCCTGGACAATCTCCTCGCAGATGAAGGAAAGACATGAAGCAACATGAATGTTATTCTACAGAAGGATGCTGAGAATACTATGAACCAAACATCTGAGCAACGACGAGGTTTTCGAGGAAATGGAAACAAAAGGACATTTACACTTAACATGTACAACTAAGTTGTAGCCTCTGTCCATCTGTTCGTTATTAAAATCCTCCTAGGGTCTTGGAGATAGAACCCATAATGATATCAATTCTGAAACTACATTACTCAGGGTACTTGGATAAGTATATTTCATTTTGATCAAAGGGTGTCACGGAGTGGGGGAAAACCCCTCCACTGAAAATTATTTTCCTTTCAATTAAATTCAATTTAAATTTAAACAAGGAAATGATTCCTGTCCAAAATATAGGAAGAGAAAGCCAGAAGATGGAGGTCACATCGGCAAGATCAAAATGAGACAATATGGATGTCAAGTTGAGCAAGAAATCATCAATCGGTGGGTAGTGCCTTACAATACATATTTGTTTCGACACTTCAACTGTCATAACAATGTTGAAGTCTGATCATCAATACATTCAGTTAAGTATTGCATCAAATAAATATGAAAGGGGTCAGATCATGCTGATTTTCCACCCCCCACTGAATTTTTTTTTCCCTTTGATTTAAATTAAATTTAAATTTGAACGAGGGAATGATTCCTGTCCAAAATATAGGAGGAGAAAGCCAGAAGATGGAGGTCACATCGGCAAGATCATTGAGTCATATTAAAATGCATCATCTTTCTCTACAAATTATGACAATGATTTAAAATCAATCATCATTTTCTTACAAAAAAAAAAAAATGGGTGACACACAGCAAGGACCGGTTAATTTGCCTAACACATATATATATATATATATATATATATATATATATAGAAAGAGAAAGAGAGAGAGAGAGAGAGAGAGAGAGAGAGAGAGAGAGAAAAGAGAGAGAGAGAAGGTGTCCATAAAGTTCGTGTGTACTTTACATAATTTATAACTTTGAAGTACACACGAAATTTAGGACACCCTATATATATATATATATATATATATATTATGTATTCATATTCCTAGAATCATAGAGGTCCTGCACACACCCCCACACCTAATACACACACACACACACACACACACACACAAAGCATCATTTAGCAACATATAATCAAACAGTACAGCACTATTAAAACATATATGGCAACACAAAAAATCCCGAAAGAAAATCGACAAGAACAATCTGCTAGTTAATAGGGATAGCACTAGCTTCCAACAATAGAGTAGATGATGACTATAATTATATTTCCCGAACAAGAGAGAATTATAATCGCGGGATCAGAGCTCATTTCCGAATGAAAACAGTAAACAAACTTTTAATATTCTACTTAAAACCCTATCAAGAGCAAAAAAACAATAATTGAAAATATAACATGAATCTAATAACCTTTCTTCTCGTTACCGAAAATTTTGAATCAAAATAAAATCCACAAAAGAAAAAAAAAAAAACAAACAGCTGAAAGAAAAATAAATAAATTCATATATGAAGAAAAAAATCTATGGCCATAAAAAAAATGAAATAATATTTATATACACATTTCCGGTGACCACCCAATCAGCATAAATACACAATTTAAACGATAGAACCATTAATAACCCTAAGAAATTTGAAAGGCCGTTTAATTCTTTTCCCACTTTCTTTAAGCATACAGTGACCTATATATATATATATATATATATATATATATATATATATATATAACCCGATATAGAAGTAGTGACATTTAGTTTGATAAATCGCAAAATATATTGTTGATTCTTATGTCTACACTACCTGTCTATACCTTCATATCTGTATACTTAATTCACATCTCTCTCTCTTTCTGTTTATCTATCTGTTTAATCTATTTACATCTATCTTAGTCTATTTTAGTCTCTTCATGTATTTCTGTCTATTTAGTCTATTCACACCTATCTATCTATCTATCAACTCAATTCGCATCTATTTAAACTATCTATCTATCTATCTAGTCTATTCACATCTATCTCTCTCTTTCCATTTGTTTAGTCTATTTACATCTATCTCACACCTATCTATCTATCTATCTATCTATCTATCTATCTATCTATTCAATTCAAATCTATTTAGTCTATTCACATCTATCTATCTATCTCGTCTATTCTCAACTATCATTTTTTTCTATTTGTTTAGCATGTTTACATCTATCTATCTATGTCTATTTAAGTCACTTCATATATTTCTATCGATTTACTCTATTCACATCTATCTATCTATCTATCTATCTATCTATCTATCTATCTATCTATCTATCTATCTATCTCCGACTCTTCATATATCTATCTATCTATCTATCTATCTATCTATCTATCTATCTATCTATCTATCTATCTTAGCCTGTTTATTTTAGTCTCTAAATATCTATGTAACTCTCTAACTTTATACTTTAGCTTTATATTAGAATGTGACGCTAAAGAAAAAAAAAGACATCTCCAGATTGTGACACGATATTTCTTTGTTATGCTCTAAGTTGTATTTGCCTGTTGTCTTCTGGTTTTTCACCCTGATTATAACAAGTCCAAGAGAGCCTGATTCGGTAAATTAGCATTATAAAGCGAAAGGCGGGTGGTGCTTTCAGTGAGACAAACACGTGAGGTCACCTCGTACACTGAGGTGTGACTTAGTGCAGAATTGCGATGTGGCTTGTGAAACTGATCAAAAAGATAGAAGCAAAGTAACGTAGAATGAATACATGTACTGAGATATTCGACTGTCCCTAAAGATATTTTTTTTTTAAAAAAAGTAATAAGTACGTAAGGTGTTAGTTATTGAAGAGACTGGTGTAGAAATGTCCAGAGGCTAAAGTGAGTGTCTTATGTTTCCGGGGGCTAATCAGTAAAACTAAGCGAATAACTGGAGAAAAGATTAAAAGATAATGGCGAAAAAAAGCAAAAAGGATCATAGTTTATGCTTTCTGGGGACTTCTAGCAACAAACCACCTGAATACGGATAGAAAATGAACTCAAGCGTCCTGTGTATGACAATAAACTACATCTGTGTCCTGGGTAAGACGATAAACTACATCCAGCAGCAAGGCCTCTGATCAGGAGGTTTTGAGGAGCATGGAACCAACTCTGAATTGCTGGTGTTCCCAGGTCTACCCTGACCCGGGGTGGTAGAACCTGTTAGGGTCCCAGCTAGGGGCAAAAAGTTAACTATTACCAGCAATATATCTTTGAAAGAAAAAAATATTAACAGCTTTACTTTTTTGAAAAAAAAAAAAATTATTATCAGCAAACATTTTTGAAGGAAAAATATTACCAGAAACAAATTTTGGACAAAACAAAATATTACCAGCAATAAAAAAAATTGCCGGCATTAAATAACCCATTGAGGTTGATATGCCGTAAAACAAACCAAATCAAAATTAAGTCAAATCTATAAAAAGTATAAAAATAATATGCAACCTACATAGCCAGGCGATTCAGAGAGAATTAGAAGATTTTTTAAAAGCAATTCATCTCAAACATGACGGGAGTACCACTTGTACGCAAGGTGCTACATAGAGGATAAGTAAAGGAAAAGACAGGGTATCTATCTATCTATCTATCTATCTATCTATCTATCTATCTATCTATTTAAGGAGACCTTCAGGTTTTGCAGGAGATTCTGAAGTCGTCTGGAGGTTGACAACTTATCCATCGCACCCTACACACACAACAGAAATCTGTCTCTGTGTGTGTGTGTGTGTGTGTGTGTGTGTGTGTGTAATTGAGATCTGGTGTTAATAAAATAGTCCTTAATGCGAAATAACAGCTATAAATTTATTGTTATGGGGTCCTCCTTTTTCACTGGATTATACCAGTGTTACTTGGATTGCTGCCGTTAAATACCCTGAGTTAGAGAGTAAGTCAGAATACAGAGAGTTGTGGGTAGAGTAGAACCACTTGTAGAAGTCACAGTTACAAGCACGTAGACTCTAAGGAAGCCCTACTTGAGACTGTATATATATATATATATATATATATATATATATATATATATATATATATATATATATATTATTATTATTATTATTGTCACTAACCGCGTTCCTAGATTTACTAACAATATTACCCATTGTATTATTGTGTAAATACATTTTATTTCTTATCTTTAATTCCTGCGTTTGTCATTCATTGGAGACCGAATTTCATCTCGAAACCACATATATATATATATATATATATATATATATATATATATATATATATATATATATATCACTTTATATAAGCATAATACTGCCCTTCAAATGTATAAATTTTAAATTAATTCTGAAGATCCAAGTCTGAAGATCCAGAGCAAAATAAAATCTCTGGTGAAATAAATTATAACAATCGAACGTTAAAGTGGTCTGTTTTTTCTTTAAATTGAGCTCTCCGGAGACGGATATGCAATGTAATTGGTCCAGATCTGATATCTTGTCTGCAGTCACTCTCTCACAGACGTGCCCTCGCCTCACTCTGTCTTTTTTACAAATAGTTTCATGGTAACTGCTCCGAGGAGCTGCTTTAGCTGGTTCCCAGACTTCATGGATTTTAGCGTTCAACTAGGCTAGAATCTTGCTGACAACCTTCACCGTGGAAACTGTTAAATGTAGCCTCTCTTCTATTTCAATAGCTTCATGTCTCGCACTTCTCACCTGTGGAACTCCCTCCCTTCTTCCTGTTTCCCTGATAGCTATAATCCCCAACTATTCAATTGTAATGTCAATCAACGTCTCCAGATGCCTTCATCTATCCCCTAACCTACACTTCATCCTTTCCTCTATCACTCCTATTTGTTCTCTCTCCAACTCTGCAACCCCTTGCGTGCTAGTGGCTTCCCGCCTTCCTTGGGGTGAAACGCTAAAAAAATATATTTATTATATATATATATATATATATATATATATATATATATATATATATATTGATAAGATTAGTGGTCAATATATATATATATATATATATATATATATATATATATGTATGTATATATTTATATGAAAATTTTTCAGAGTTGTCCTGTAGAAAAAAAACAATATTTAAAAATTTAAATGACAATAGGAAAACTGTAGTTATTGCTGACGCTTTTCATCCAATATGGATTTTATCAAAGCAAAAAAGTACGGTATATTAGTGTTTGAGCCTTATATATATATCTATCTATCTATCTATCTATCTATCTATCTATATATATATATATATATATATATATATATATATATATGCTTAAACACTAATATTCCATGGTTATAATTTATTACATTGGAATCGTAATCACGATCCAATTCATCAGACCTACAAATTTCAAAAAGAAATCGGGAAAAATAACTCCGGGTATAAAAAATAATATTTAGCGAGAGTTTATGTATGAGAGTTGGGGACGAATGTGAGGCGTAAAAGAAAGTTTCAGAGAGGGGTAACAGACGAGAGAAGAACAGGAAGGCGTAAAAGTGAAGGTGGGATTTCAAATTAAACAGAGACAAGTTTTAAAGAGAGGAGTTAAATGACGGTTTAAATGAGTGAGATACAGATGAACGGGTGTAAACATTTGTGGTGACACTACGCACAATAAAAGACGATATGATCTAGGGTGAAGATAAAGGGCAACGAAAACTGAAGGGCACAGAGCCGCTGTGCAATCAAAATATGTATGTATGTATATTTATATATTTTACATATTTTATATATATATATGTGTGTGTGTGTGTGTGTGTGTGTGTGTGTATGTTAACTACTAATATATATATATATATATATATATATATATATATATATATATTAGACTCGCCCCTCGTTTTACGTCCGGGGTAAGACGTTAAACTATATCAGCGTCCTGGGTATGACGCTAAACTGTATACGCGTCCTGGGTAAGAGGTTAAAGTACGTCCAGCAGCAAGGCCTCTGATCAGGAGGTTTTGAGGAGCATTCAACCACCTCTTAATTCCTGGTATTTCAAGGTCCACCCTAACCCGGGGTGGTAGCACCCGTTAGGGTTCCAGCTATGGGCAAATAGTTAACTATTACCAGCAATACATTTTTGAAAAAAAATTATTACCAGCAATTTTGAACGGAAAATATTATCAGAAACAGATTTTTGGACAAAACAAGATATTACCAGCAATAAAAAACAAAATTGTCGGCATTAAATAACCCATAAACCAAAGAATACATATTCTATTCATACGAATCTATCCTAAAAATGTTGTCGGCATTAAATAACCCATTGAGGTTGATATGCCGTAAAACAAAATAAACCAAACCAATCTAAACCAAAGAATACATATTCTATTCATACGAATCTATCCTAAAAATGTTGTCGGCATTAAATAAGCCATTGAGGTTGATATGCCGTAAAACAAAATAAACCAAACCAATCTAAACCAAAGAATACATATTCTATTCATACGAATCTATCCTAAAAATGTTGTCGGCATTAAATAATCCATTGAGGTTGATATGTCGTAAAACAAAAACCAAACCAAAACTCCCGTCGTTTTCGAGGCTGAACCGGCTCAGATCATTCACCCATCATCTAGATTACTCGTACACATATTGGATTGTGGAAGAAACTATTTCCTGAACATTTTATGATGATGCTGATACCAATGATCATTGAAAGCGAAACGTTGCTAGCTTGTTGTTGCAAACAAAATAAGCCTAGTGTAGATCACATGAAGAAACAAAGTAACCATAGAGTTTTAGATTTCTATTTGTTTTTTTCTTGTGGCTCGAAAATATCTTTAGAATTCAAAGGAGCATTCAAAAGGTTACGAACACATTAACCCCTTTCGTACGTTTCGTCTTACAACAAAGCTGACAGCTAGTTGTGTATATGTGGTGTCTTGGTTAAGCCCATATTTTCTTCGGATTAAGATTATTGATTTGTATATTTTATTATTTGTGCTTTCGGGAGTCATGTCGAGGCGTAAACAAAAAAAGGGTTTATATGAAGAATCTTTATTTTCTTTCTGGTTTAGTTTTCGTCACTTTTTCTTGTCCATCTCTGTCAATAGCAGGATTTCTTTTCTTTTTCATATTCTTCTTTTTGGATAGTGTCTATTATTTCTAAAATTATCTGTTTTTCCTCTCAATTTTCCTTTCTGACTGTAATCCCCTACATTTGTGCTAGGCATTCTGTGAAAATCAATAAAGTGTTGCATAACAATGCATCTATCTATCTATCTATTAATATATATCTACGTATCTATCTATCTATCTATCTATCTATCTATATATATCTACGTATCTCTCTATCTATCTATTTCCATCTCAGTTTATTAATATCTATCTATCTATCTATCTATCTATCTATCTATCTATCTATCTATCTATCTATCTCAGAATGGTCATATCTATCTATCTATCTATCTATCTATCTATCTATCTATCTCAGTATGGTCATATCTATCTATCTATCTATCTCTCTATCTCTCTATCTCAGTATGGTCATATCTATCTATCTATCTATCTATCTATCTATCTATCTCAGTATGGTCATATCTATCTATCTATCTATCTATCTAAATCTATTAATATATATCTACCTATCTCTCTATCTCTCTATTTCCAGTTTATTAATATCGATCAATCTATCTATCTGTTTTCATCTAAGTTTATTAATATCTATCTATCTATTTATCTATCTATCTATCTATCTATTTCCATCTAAGTTTATTAATATCTATCTATCTATCTATCTATCTATCTATCTATCTATCTATCTATCTATCTATTTCCATCTAAGTTTATTAATATCTATCTATCTATCTATCTATCTATTTCCATCTAAGTTTATTAATATCTATCTATCTATCTATCTATCTATCTATCTATCTATTTCCATCTAAGTTTATTAATATCTATCTATCTATCTATCTATCTATCTATCTATCTATCTATCTATCTATCTATCTATCTATCTGTTTCATATCCATATCATTGACTCCATATCTGTATCTCTACACATCATACTATTTCTTCCAATATTTTCCTATTCACCCTAAGCAAGGCGATAATGCCCCTAAGACGCAATGAGCTTATGGTAGTGGAAGAGAAAGTAAAATAGTAACTGAAAACCCAGTCCCAAATGGAGAGAATGGATAGATATCTACTCCCGTTGAAAAAACTGAAGAGGAGTGTTAACTGGACGTTTCTATCTATCTATCTATCTATCTATCTATCTATCTATCTATCTATTTCGAATTTCAAAACAATTTTCGCAGGTTCTTCAAGCATATTTGGAATCAGAAGCTCATCCCCCAAAAGTGGGTTATATCGCGGATTAAAACGTACACAAGACCCACAGACTTACAGAGGTATCACACTTGTATGAAATATGCTACTACTACTACTTCTACTACTCCTGCTACTACTACTAGTGAAAATTGTATTAACTATGTTCTCACCATTATATCAAAGTCAACTGCTCACAACCTAATTTCGCGTTTGTTCTGGACGGTCTCCTTGTTTAAGTTTCTGAATGCTACAATAATCCTTGCCTTCATTTAAACTTTGGTGTTACAAGAAGTGTTGATGGTTTCTCACTCAACTGCGCCCACAAATAATAATCAAGGGGGTTGAAGTCCGGGGAGTTAGGGGGCCAGATAAAAGGTGTGATGAGATGGCAGACATTGTCTGACATCCATGACTGGGTTTGTGTGGCATGGTGCTGAGTCCTGTTGCCAGCGGCTCTTACAGCGGCTATCCACGTGATCCTGTACAGAACCACCTCCTTCATCACTTGATGTATGTTTCTGTTGTGAGCCTGGGGCCCTCTCGGAAGATGAATGGAGGCATAACGTCGCCATCACGAGTGATCACGCCAAAGAATTTCGTAATCGCCATTAGACTCTGCACTGTCCTCAAATTGACGCGTAAACATTCTGAAATTTCCGCATTGGAGTTTCCGGCGCCAATGCCAAGAATAAAGCATAGCGTTTCCAAATTTCTGGCGGAGTGAATTGCGTCATGATGACCTTCTTCTCATATAAATATGCCCAACTTACCCCGTATACTGTGCAGTCGACAAAACCAAAAAAAATAACGCGCATGCAGTAAATTAAAAATATAAAATGGCGACAATTTACCCATCGCATTATACATATATATATATATATATATATATATATATATATATATATATATATATATATATATATATCTAATAAATCAGAGAAATCCATGGTAATATTGTATATTTCGCAAGACCGATAAAATTCGTCAGACCATGCGGTTTCAAACAATGCGTGGATTCAAAAATTCCTCCAGTAATCAACCGCAAAACGAAATGAAAAACAAGATTAGCGGAAGTTGTGTTTAAAGATAGTGACATAGAGTAGGAAGGGGAGGAGAGAGATATATGTCTTTAGGAGATACGATGGTTGTGGCGTTGACCTCTCATTCATGGGATAAGAGAAAGGAATAAAGAAAGAGGTAGAGGCAGGGAATAGAAGAAAGGAATGAAGAAATAGGAGATCTTACACAAATCCCCATATCTACATACAAACACATTTTTCTATATACACATACACATATATAGTTACACTTACCCATATGTGCCGAGATCCATACACACAATCGCATCCATCTACACATATATGTGTTTTTACGTAAATATGTCACCATGACTTTCTGAAGTCTCTGATTTCTTAATTAATTATTACTTGTCTTGTTTACTACATTGAGCTCTGGGGCTTTATAACATCCTTTGGCATTATCCATGTTATCGTTGTCAAGTTTTTTGAATTTTTCTATACGTGTATTTTGATTGGTCATTCTAGCTTTTGTAACAACGTTTTCCCCTTGCGAAGGATCGTTAATTAATTTGAAACTTTTAAAACCATTTATTTTTCATTCAACATCATCACTTGATAAGACACCGGAGGTGTTGAAACAAAATGGCTATTTTTGTAGTGATTTTATAACATATTATGTTATAATTTTTTTTAAATACATAATTATATATATATATATATATATATATATATATATATATATATATATATTTCCAAGAGGGTTAAGTAACATTTCTTTTTGAATTTGTAAGTCTGATGAATTGGATCGTGATTACATATCCGACGTAATAAATTACAACCATGGAATATTAATGTTTAGGCATTTTATATTATATATATATATATATATATATATATATATATATATATATATATATATATATATCGATTCTCCCTGTCAAGCAGATCAGTTTCCTGGAAACTGACAGCCCGACACCAGCACATGAGATTCTATTATAGTGGTGAAGGTTTCGTGCAGGACCATCCACACTTTTTGAAGGGCCGAATACAGGGATCTGGTGCACTACGTGCCACAAGGTCCCCTCAGGTTTTAAATTCAGAGTTGTCCTACTTCGAGACCAGGTGCCATCGAAGGCTATAGAACCCAGTCTGTCCTGCTATTTAACCCATAGCTGGAAGGAGAAGAGGATTCACACCTTTCCCAAGGGTATTAACACGTAAAAATGTAATGATTCAATGGATTATATATATATATATATATATATATATATATATATATATATATATATATATATAATTTTTTATTTGATCTCCAATTCTAGCAATCAACAAATAGCATTAAACTCTTACATTGGCTACACATTCCCCAAACTCTATCGTACGTTGACCTCCCAAATAGAGGTCAGTAAAGTAAAATATTTAAAAAGAAAAATGGACAGAATTTATTGGGAAAAAAATTAAATGGTAATTAGTTGGAGGACTAATACAAAAATCCTTCTGTTTATATAGAGAATACTTCAATGATGGAATATAGATGGCCTCCAACACTTTTAGATGGTAATGACAGTGGGACCTACTAAGGATGGTAAAAGAAACTACACTAAAACTAACAGCACATTTACTACTATTATTCACCCAACACAAGTCCAAGAGCCACCCAAAATAGAGGGTTACTGAATAAGGTTGTTGTAAGAAGCAGAATTAAGGAGGATATGTAGTATGATAATAATTGATCTAGACTTATCTTAGCTGTGAAGGTTTGAAAAGGAGTTACTGAAGAACACAGTTTTCCCGAACATGATTCGAACCTGTGGACGTGACCTGGCAGACTACTTAGCTATAAATATCATAACAAGGGCAACTAAAAATGCAGATTGTCAAAACGTTTGTCATGGAAATAGCGATAGGGAAGCAAGAGGCGAGAAACATTTCGCCTGTGGGGAAAGTGGTAGTAGGATGGAAAACAATCACCCACAGGTCCACGTAGACACTTTATCGCGGTTAAGGCTTGAAATTAATGATTGAGCAGCCCCAGTCCAGATAAGCTGGCAATGCAGAGTTACAAAGGGAGTCTGTTCACTCGAACAGGAAAATAGCGATAAAGTAAGGATAGGCTGATAACATTTCGTCTGTGGGAAAGGTTTTTGTTTTACTTAGTGATGTGGGGCCAAAGTTGGGACCACAGAAGTAAAACACGGAACACGGATTAGATGTAAGAAAGATATATTAACAACAGGTTACAGAGATAGTGTAAGCGGAGCTTACTATAAGTTAGTGTCTAACATTGGTAGTCGGACTAGACTCTCACTGTCAATCTCTAGAGTGCTATGTCGCCTACTTAATATAGGTCTGCAGGAGTCTATTGTGTAGGTAGTTTCCGGTCTCACAATATCCCCCTTCCAAAGAGTTTTCTTTTTGCAAAGGAGAGAAAAAAACAAACAAAAAAAAACTGTTAGTACTTTTTCCTCTTGGGATTTACGTCGAGCGGTTGAGTAAATTTCCTTTTCCTTCCTGAGCGTCGCATTTCAGGAGAGACTTGAGGCATGTCGAGATCGAACTAGAGGTCTTGATGCGTGAGCCACAGATTTTCGCGAACCATCTGGCAGTTTATGTAATATGCAAGCGCCTATGCCGTACGAGCTTGCATCACTTGAGACTATAATTTCGAGACTAGTGTCGTAATGGAGAGAGGAGAGGTCTGAAGTAAGAGTTTTCTTGATCTTCTCGAATGCGTCTTGGGATTCCGGGTACATGACCATAGTTTGTCCTTTTTTAAAAGTTGGTTGAGAGGCCCTCTCAAATTTTGCATGTTCTTAATGAACCCTTGGTAAAAGTTAGCTAGGCCGAGGAAGCTTTGTAACGCTTGAACGTTATCTGGGGCCGGCATGTTTCTGATCACGTTGGCACTTTCTGGATCCGGCCGACGACCATCTTTATTTATAATGTGACCTAAGTATTTAATCTCTGGTAAGAAAAAGTCACACTTTTCCTCCTTGACCTTAAATCCGTATTCTTGTATCTTTTCGAATACGTTTATTTATAATGTGACCTAAGTATTTAATCTCTGGTAAGAAAAAGTCACACTTTTCCTCCTTGACCTTAAATCCGTATTCTTGTATCTTTTCGAATACGTTTATTATATGGTTCCGGTGCTCTGCCATAGTTTTACTGGTAACCAGTAATAACATCCAAATAGGCTGTTGCGTAGTCAAGATCGCCCAGCATGGCGTCCATGACCTGCTGGAAAATTGCAGGCGCAACCTTCACTCCAAAAGCCAGTCTGTTGTATTTGTACAACCCTCTATAGGTGTTTATGCAAAGCAATTTGGAACTTTCTTCTTCCACCTCTATCTGAAGGTATGCGTCCGAGAGGTCAATTTTAGAAAAAAATTTTCCACCATTGTGTTTATTGAAAATTTCTTCAGGGCTTGGGAGAGGATAGTGGTGGTGTTGCAAGGCATCGTTTAACCTTGTGGAAAAATCTGCGCATACTCTTATTTGATTGGACTTCTTTTTTACGTAGACCGTAGGTGCTGCCCACTCGTTGAAATCTGTTTTTGACAGAATACCTGCTTGTTCGAGTCTATCTAACTCTTTGTTGATTTGTTCTAGAGCAGCGAAAGGGACATTCCGTTTCTTTTTGAATACCGGTTGTGCACCGTCCTTCACCTTGAACTTAGCTTTCATTTTAGTACATTTCCCAAGGCCGACAGAAAAACCTGGGGAAATTGTTGTTTGTGTTCCTTTTTTAGATTTACCAAATTGGACGTTGTACTTTATATCTTGCGAAAAATGTACTCATTGGGCAATCCCAAAGATTGAATTTTTCTATCCAATCTGTTCCGAATAATTTAACTGAAGTTTTTAATACATAGGCTTTGAGTTTTTTGGTAACTCCATTTAGTGTTACTGTAAGTATTACCTCGACTAAAATGTTAATCTTTTCGCCAGTTACGGATTTTGCAGTT